AAAGCTTTTTACGGGTGAGGAAACAGAGAAATAGACCCTCTACAAACCAGGGACTTGGGAAAACCGCCCCCCCCCCCGAGAAAATTCCATGGTCCCATGTTGTTGGTTTTTGTTTGTTTGCTTTTTGAGACTGGGTTTCTTTGTGTTGGCCTGGCTGTCCTAGAATTCACTCTGTAGACCAGGATGCTCTCAGAGATCCACCTGCTTCTGCCTCCTGGGTGCTGGGATTAAAGGCATGGGCTACCACAGCCCAGTTTTTGTTTATTTGACTGAGAGTATGAGTATGGTGTATAGCCCACTCTGTCCTGAAACTTGAGATTCTCCTGTCTCAGCCTCCCATGTGCTGGGGATATAGGTGTATGGCATTTCCTTCTCTTCAGAGATTTACAGCTAAGTCTATATTATTATGAAATATAAAGCATATAAATATGAAATTGTTCTTTAAATATATTATGTTTATTATTTATAACGTTTCTTTGTTAATATGTGCTGTAGTGCTAACTTGGATGAGGCTGCCCAGGCTGGCACCAGCTCACTGCAGGTGATGGTGGACCACCATCCTGTTGCTATCACAGTAGAGCTGAAGCAGGAAGAGGACATTAAGTCATCCCCTCCACTGGTCCCAAACCCTCAACACAATGATGCCTCAGAGCGAAGAGCAGAGCATGAACTAGTACACGCTATGGAAGAACCCTTGTCTCCATCACTCTCGTCTGTTGACATGAGAATGACGTCATCTCCATCTTCTATTCCAAGGAGAGATGACTTTTTCCATCCTGAAAGTGGAGAACGCCTGAGGTCTCTGTTAAAATACGACCCTCAGGTCCTGCAAATGTTAAAAGAGGAACATGAGATAATTTTAGACAATCAGAAGAATTTTGGGTTGTATGTTCAGGAGAAGAGGGATGGGCTGAGAAGAAGGCAGCAGCTAGAGGAGGAGCTGCTCAGAGCAAAGATTGAAGTGGAGAAGCTGAAAGCAGCTCGTCTGCGGCGCGATCTGACCGAGTATGGTAGCCACTAAGAGCAATCTGATAACTTTACTTTTGTCAGAATTAATTTGGAGTATTATGAAGCTGAGCACATGCCCTATAAAAATGTTGTTAATCTCTCTTATTAAAAAAGCCCTTAACATGATTTTCTTTTTCTTTCTAACCCTGTTTTTTAAACACAAGTTTCTAAGTATTTAATTTTCTCTTTAGATACTAGAATTTACTGATTGGTGGACATGGTAATCCAGCTCATTGTCTTCCCTCATTTTTTTTTTTTTTCCTAAGACATTTAGTTGTTGGCCTTATGTAAGATTTTTTGTTTTGATTATAAAAGAAATAATACAAATAGAGTTGTATATGGTCCATACGCCTGTAATCGCAGCACTTGAGAGAGAGAAGCAGAGCAGAAGATCAAGGCCGTCATAATTCAAGGTCAGCTGTGCTATGTGAAGGATTGTGCACAGAATCGTATAAATGCATAAATAGTATTCCAGAGCACAGGATCTTCAACAGTTTAAGTTACAGCTTTGATGGTTACATTTAAAAAGCAGAGGAGAGAGAGAGAGAGGGAAGGAAGGAGGGAGGTAGAGAGAAAGAGAGAGAGAAAGAGAGAATGTGTGTGTTGGTGTTGGATTAAGTACCTAATACATGGTACTTAATCCCTAGTCCTATTTTTTTTTTTTTTTTCTTTTTTTGGAGACAGGAAGTCACTCTGTAGTCCAGGGTAGCCTGGAATAGAACCTCCTCTTGCCTCAGCCAGCTGAATACTGTGATAGGTGTGTGCTATGCTCACAGTAACAGAAATCTTGTATGCATGACATGGGTTTTGTCTTTAACTCTTGAAAGAGTGAGGTTAGATCTTAGAGACAGAAGATATTTGGAAAAAGCTTCAATTTAGAAGTAATGCAACTGAGGTCAGGGAGGATGCCATAATTTATTCTGGGCAGCAAAGTTTTTTATGGCAGAGTAAGTATCGGTGCTCTCTCTCTCTCTCTCTCTCTCTCTCTCTCTCTCTCTCTTTCTAAGGGAGCAGGGGGAAAAGTGGTGATATTTTTTATTCTCTATTCTATAGAAGTAAAAATCTCAGAATTCATTTAATTAATTAGGAGAATGTATTCAATTAGAATCACCTGTTGGGTTGGAGGTATAGCTCAAGGGCAGAGCTCTTTCCTGGTGTGTTTGAGTACCATCTTCGGGGGACAGGTGCAAAGTTACCATTCTACATTGTTGGGTTATGAAGTCTAAGGAATTCTGTCACCACCCCACCCTCTCTCTCTTTGTCCTGCTAAAAGAGATCAGGCCTTTTTATTGAAAATATTACATATTTTGACCATGTGATTAAAATTATCTTACTTCATTTTAAATATTTTTCTGGAAAATGTTTCCTTCATAGTAAAGTTAGAATTAAATAAAATCAAAACTACTTAGAGTGAAAATAACAAAAATCATGTTTACATATAATTTAACTTGTAGATTTTTAAGTATTATTTTTAAATATTGTAGTATTCATGGGATTAAAATCTTGATTTTTATAACTCTTACATATTGAATTTATGTTCAATATTTAATATGTCTCACATATTTGATTTCAATTTTTATGGGGATTTTGATGAGGAAGGACTTTAAAAAGCCAGGGCTTTGGATGGGGCATGTAGAGTTTCAGAAGTACTGGGGGTAAAGGGTGCTTGATGTCAGAGTGAGCCCTGCACATACAAATGGGGTGGAGTGGGTTAAGGTGTCCAAGCACATGTGCCCTCTAATCAGGCAAGTTTGAAGTGAGGAGAGGTGAAAAGTTCTGTGTTTTGGAAACTTGAATGACCTGCATCACACTCTGAAGACCAGGCTGGCCCGGGTCTCACAGAGATCATCTACCTCTGATATGCTGGGTTAATGATGTGCCTGGTGGACACCTTTCTTGACTACATTGGGTAGCTTCTGTTCAGTTCAAGTTAAAATTTAACATTCAGGAATACGTCAGAAATCTGACTTGGTTTTGTGTGAAATTTGCCAGTTTTTAGATGTTTGCAAGTCATTCAGAATGCTTTTAAAACAGTTTGGGCATGCCAGCTCCAGGGTTTTCAGGCTTCCAGTCGGTAGCCTCCTGATGTAATCAAGGCTTCAGGTTCCATCCACAGCACCACAGACACAGTACAGTTAAGGCAATAGTGTCAGTCCTGAACTGGAGCATCAGCATTGTATTACCTCTTTAGATTGCGAATCCATCCAGTGAATCAGAAGCCAGGGGTGGGGCTCAGCAGTCTGTGAATAGTGTCCTCTGGGGACTCTGATGCTAGCTAAAGGTTGAGAGTTGAACTTGGTGCTTAAATCGTGGCAGTCTCTCAACGGTTCTCATTGAAGAGTAATGTGGGTAAAATGTCAGTTATTAAATTATGGATTACATTAAATGCTAATTTTATGGAGTAGATTTAACTGAATATAATAAAATGAGAAGCTGTTGAAGGCTTTTTTATTATAGAGATGACACAAATAAGATGTGAACTAGGAAGAATTCTATCAAATGTAATGATATAAGTAATGGTTGTAGAAATAGAGTAAATAAAGTGATCTCTTAGAGTACTAGGTTAATTTGTTTATTTATGTTCAAGGTTATAATTATTTGCATGGCAGTTTACCTTTTTAATCTGTGCTATGACTTTCAGTTGAAATGTAATGAATCTTCTAATTTGAGGTAATATATCTTATAATATAATTTTAATAAATAATGTCTATAGTAGAAACCCTTTTGAAATCATTTAAAGTAAGTTATGATACGAAGTCTAATTCTCATTATTTCAGCATGCTGCTACTCAGACTTGGTAGTTAACATTCAGCCTGAGTATTGACTTTGTATAGTATCCCAAAACCCATTTACAAGTGTCTTTGCAGAAAATTAATTCTGTGAAATGTTTGTAGGAAGTAATTCAGTGTTTAAAGAAAGCACATATTTTTTGATGGTTTGGTTCTATAATCAATGTAGGAATTAAAAAAAAAACATAGATGTCTGAGAATTCCTTTTTTGTACATAAAATAGTATTGCAATCACACTTTTCTGTGGCATTGTTCAAATTTGCTGTTTGTGTCAAGTGGCACAATTTGTTAGTAGTTAAGGGCTATGAAGAATAATAAACCTAGTTTTTGTATTTTGTATCTAGAATTCTGTTCATTAGAGTAAACTTACTACAATTTTCTATGAGTAAATATTGTTTTAGTTGTAAAAGTTATAAAAACATAATAATCCTGCCCCATTCTCTAATTCCTTCCCCTATGTAACCATGTTTTCAAAGCTGGTTTGTGAGGATTCCCAAGTAAAGCAAAGAACTAGCCACGTGACCGTGGAACCTTTCTTGAGGCTGTTGTTTTCCTTTGATCTTGTAGAGTGTGGTCCAGAGATGATGAGCTAAATCTCACCACCTCTTTCTTTGTGATACTGAGACTTTGAACTTGAAGACTACCTGTGACCTGTGAGCAGATTTTACTGAGGACAGGTTTCCCTCAGTGAGTACTGAGAAGAAGTTGTTCTAGGAACGATGGAAGCTGCCAGACATCTTAGATACTGTGCCATCATACAATGTGGGATACCCTCATACAGTATGGCAAATGCTGGAAACACCGGGCTGGGGGGTGTTATTTTGTTCTTGTTTTAGGTATGATTCTGTTGAGATACTTTAAATGTGGTAAATGATTATTTCATTTGCTCTCCCTCTGTTTTTGTTTTTATGGTTTTTTGAAACAGGGTTTCTCTGTATTGTTTTGGAGCCTGTCCTGGAACTATCTCTTGTAGACCAGGCTGGCCTAGAACTTGGAGTTTTGCCTGCCTCTGCCTCTCAAGTGCTGGGATGAAAGGTGTATGCCACCAATGCCTGACTTTTGTGGTTTTTTTTTTTTTTTTTTTTTTTTTTTTTGAGAAAGTTTTCTTTCCATTTTCCTGGCTGTCCTGGAACTTGCTATATAGATAGGCCAGGGTGGCCTTGAACTCAGAGATCTGCCTGTTTCTGGTGCTGGGATTTAAAGGCATTCACCACTACCTCCTGGCTAAGCTTTTTTTATTTTTAATCTTGTGAAATAGTCAGAATAAATCCCTTTTGAATAATGAGGCAACAAGTTGTATAATTTCATTTTTGAGTTGCTCTACTTTGGTTTATCTTTACGCACATAAATGTTTAAAATGTTCGTTACAGTGTATGTCTCCTTTTAGTGTGATGTCATTTAAATAGCCATGTAACTCTCAGTGCAGTGAATTGTGTTGACCGTATTATACTGCTGTTGAGGGTAGCTGAGGAAGTAAGTTATACTGATTTATATCCTTTTTGGTGCCATAAATCAGAGTTTAGTATACTAGAGGAAAAGTTGTTGATGAAGCAAACTCGAAGTACAATTATCTAGAGGACTGAAATAGACACCAACTATACTGTATCGAAATATCATACTTTAAAAGCAATCTTAAGGTCCACAAATTCTCAAAGTAAAATATTTGGATGTATTAAATACTTAAGTAAATGAAGTTTACTACATAGTTTATAAATACAGGAGTAAGTTTCTAAATTAGGCAATCTAATTAAACAGAATTGTGCTAAATCTTTGTATACATTTTTGAGATACTATCTACATTTTTTTTTGTCTAAATATGTGCTTTTATTTAGTTCTTTTAAATAATATATTAAGTACCTGTGACCCCACCAGGATGATTAATGTATTTTTATAGTCTTTTGAATTGATTAAGCTAGTAGGTATAATTTGAAATTATATATTTTTTTCAATTGCTTTGTAGATAATGAAATAAATGAATAAATGCAAATAAAAATATCACTTATCAGCTCAATTTACTTATTTTAGTATTTATTTTTGCATTTGAGACAGTTTAATGTAACAAGGGTTGGCTTTGAACTCTGTTTACCTACAAATGACCTTAAAATTATTCCTATCCCATCCAAGCGCTGGGATGAAAAGTGTGCCACCATGCTTTATTTAGGCAATGCATAGGGTCAAACCTAGGTCTCTCAAATGAGCCAGGTATCAAACATCTCTAGCTCCTAATGATAACTAAAGAGGATGTATCGTGAGAGCTATACTTTGCTAGCTAGTAGGTCTTTCATGTTTGAGTTTACTGGTGAAAAACTTCTAACTCCAAACATTTTTATTAACTCTTTAGACATACAAAAGGGTTGAAAGAATTTTGTAGTAAATACATGCCTTCCTACCATGAAGAGTCTACCATCATCAGTCTTTTGCTAACAGGCAGGAAGTCCTGGTTCAATCTCCAGCCTTGGGGGAAAAACAAAAAGATTCAGAATGTTCCCATTACAGTTCTGCCTTCCTCTTTCCTCTCAGTCTCCTCACGCCTCACCCACTGTTGATTGTTTAAAATCCCACATAACCAAGTACAAGGGCTCATGCCTGTAACCCAGCAGTTGGGAGGTTGATTGGGAACATCACAACTTAGAGGCCAACCTGAACTATATGTCAAGATCCTGCTCAAACGAACACGCCTACATAACATTTACCTGTTTTACAAGTTCATGTTATTTCTAATTACTGCTTTAAAAAATAACCTGTCTGTGCTGGCTCATTATATGTTAACCTGACACAGGCTGGAGCAATTTGAGAGATGGTACCTCAGCTGAGAAAGTGCATCCATTGGATTGGGCCGCAGGCAAGCCTGTGGGGCATTTTCTTAATTAGTGGTGATGTCACAGGGCTCAGCCCAGTTTGGGTGATGCCATCATGCGCTGGTGATCCTGGGTTCTATAAGAAAGCAGGCTGAGCAAGGCATGGAGAGCAAGCCAGTAAGCAGCATCCTCCATGACCTCTGCATCAGCTCCTGCCCTGAGGTTCCTACCCTGTTCTAGTTCTTATCTTAATTTCCTTCAGTGATGGACTATGATGTGAAAGTATAAGCCAAACGAACCCTTTGTTCCTCAACTAGTTTTTGGTCATGGTGTTTTAATTAGGATACTATCTTAATGTTTTTAGTATTCTGTTTCCCCCCCCCTCTCCTTTTAGTAGTTCATTGCACTTTTATTGTGGAATAGTATTCCACTGTATAAATCTTGAAAGAAATATATGTTTATTTTACACAAAACATTTGAATTTTGACATTTATTATTTTTAATTAGGTTAAAAAAGCTATAGGTAATTTTTAATTTGAAGCCATTTATATATTATTGTACACTTTAAGAAAATTATAGCTGGTTGGTGGTGGTGCCTTTAATCCTAGCACTTGGGAGGCAGAGGCAGGTGGATGGGTCTCTGAGTTCAAGGCCAACCTGGTCTGCATAGTGAGTTCCAGGGCAGCTAGGACTACTCAGAGAAACTGTCTTAAAAAAACATTTATTTTATGTGTGGGGGTGCTTTACACATACATAGCTGTGCTTGTGTCTGTGGAAGCCAGAAGAGGACATTGGATCTTTGGGACTGGACTTGAGTTTACAGATAATTGTGAATAGTCATGTGCGGCTCAAATCAAACCCTGGGCCTCTGGTAGAACAGCCAGTGCTCCTAGTCACAGGGGTATCTTTTCAGCCCCATTGTTTACTTTTTAGTGTAATGCAAGTTTTCTTGGGGCCAGGGTTGTAGCGTAGTTTATAGAGTGCCCACTTAGCGTGCATGAGTCCAGGTTCAATCTGTAGCACTGCACATAGTATTTGCTTGTTTTTCTGTAATCCCAGCCCACAGGAAGGTGAGGTAAAAGGTTCAGGGTCATCGTTGGCTGGAGTTTGAAACCAGTCTGGACTACAAGACTTGTTTCCTCACTCACCACCAGAAAAAACCATTTAGCTTTTATTCCAGCTACATGTTAATGCATGTGTGGGGACTGAAAATGCCCCCATCGGCTCACACATTTGAATGTTTGGTTCCCAGTTGGTGGACTGTTTAGAAAGGATTAGGAGGTGTGACCGTGTTGGAAGAGGTGTGTCACTAGGCCGTGGGCTTTGCCAGACCTAGCCTCTCTCTTTCTGCCTTCTACCTGTGGATCAGGATATAGGCTCTCAGTTACTGCTCCAGCCAGCACTAAGCACCACCGGGGCTGATTGCCACACCCCCTGCAATGGTGGTCATAGACTAACCCTCTAAAACTCTAAGCAGGCCCACGATTAAGAACTCTTGTAAATTTGGTGGAAGGACTAAATTTATCTTCCTATCTTCCCGATTTTGATGATTAAAGTTCCCGTGGTGTGTGTGTGTGTGTGTGTGTGTGTGTGTGTGTGTGTTGTCCTGGAACTCCTCTGTAGACCAGGCTGGTCTCAAACTCACACCGATCTGCCTGCCTCTGCCTAAAGGGACTAAAGACATGAACCACCTATGCCTGGCTCAATTCAGGGGTTAGGAGCTCTACTTAAAGGTTAGATGAAAGACAGAGGATGTGTTAGCACACTCAGTGAAGGGATTAGGGGAATTCAGACGGTGTTAAAAAGCAAAGGGTATTTCAAAGAGGAGGCAATCAATGCATTCTGTTCAGGACTAAAAATTAGCATGCTTATTGACAGGTTATAAAATCTTTATCAGGATAGCTTTGGGTAAAGTCAGATTAGAGTAGTTAACTGGAAATTTGAAGTTGTGTCAGTAATTTGGAGAAAAAGTCCATTTTTCTCTTTAATGACCTTTTCCATGGTTACTTTGTTGAGAGCTTCTTATAACCTCAAACATATATTTAAGATATATTATTACCAAGTATCGCCAGGTGGTGGCGGCAGCGGCGTACTCCTTTAATCCCAGCATGCAGGAGGCAGAGGCAGGTGGGTCTCTGTGAGTTTGAGGCCAATCTGGTCTGCAGAGCAAGTTTCAGGATAGACTCCATAGCTACCGAGAAACCGTGTCTCAACCCCCCCCCCCCCACCAAAAGATGCTTTATTATCAATAGTCAAGTTTAATGTTAATGAAACCATCCCCACTGACTAAGGTGGCAAACATGAATATTCACAGAAATGTGCTGGCACCTTCACCCTGGTCTGGGCAATCTTCCAGCGTCTCACAGAATACTGACAGTAAGCTCGTGTAAGCTGGAATGCCCCTTACAGACACCCTCAGTGGGGGAAAGGGTCCTGGAAGCGTGTCGGCTGTGTGACCCCTCTGACACCCTCAGACACCAGACTTGTGTACTAGCATTTGAATGGGCACACACTTTCATTTTTATCTGACACGTTGGTTGTAAGCACTCTGATAAATGTGAAGTGGTATGTCATTGTTAGTTTCCGTCATTTGCTTTTTGGAAGGTCTTAGGATATAGCTCAGGCTGGTCAGGAACTCACTCTTCCTCTTGAGCCTCCTGAGTGCTGGGGTTGTAGGCACGGAGCAGCACACAGGCCGTTTGTCTACGTGGGTTCTTACTTTGTAGTTGAGGCCGCTCTAGATTGGCCCCCAAGTTCCAGGGTCACAGATCTAGTCTTGTGTGATCTCTCTTTCCTTTTTTTTTTTTTTTTTTTTTTTTTTTTTTGAGCTACTGTGTATGGAATTGAAAACTCTTCAGTTTTTGCCTGGTCTGGTGATGCAGACTCCTCTGTTTGGGAGGCAGTAAGTCCACAGCGGAAGGCCTACCTGGGTTATGAAGTGAGTTCATGGTCAACCTTGCCAATTTAGGGAGAGCAGCCTCAAGGTTATCAGTGACAAGGGGCCTGGGAAGGAGCTCGGTTGTAGAGTCCCGAACTTGCAGGATGGGGCTGTGCGCCAGTCCCAATACTGGAAAAGTCATTTCCTGTTTTTCTTCCTAGCATGTAAGAGTATGATTTTTTTTTTCTGAGTCCTTTATTCTGTGATCCTGCAGAATTATATTTTATCTCTAGCCATCCATTTTTTTTTATTGGCTGGGGATTTCTGTGGAAGCAGTGATAGCATGTACAGATAAGTGGTTTAGTTTTTCCTTTCTGAGGTTTTTATTGTCTTAGTTCAGTGGCCAGAACTGTCAATTCAAGACAGTGCTGAATACAAGGGATCAGTATTGTCTCGTTCCTAGTATCAGGGCTTTCCCTCTGTCTTTTCTTTTCAAGTAACATATACCATAACGTGCGCACGTGTGTATGTGTGTGTGTGTAGTGTGGTGTGTGTATTGTATGTGTGTTGTGTGTATATGTGTTATGTGTGTGTGTATTCCTATGTGTAAGTTGTTTTGTTTAGATGGCTTCCCTGGGTTATGTGTGAGATAAAAAGCCATAGTGAAGTGTCCTTCAGTAATGTGGCCAGAGGCTTCTCAGCTTGATCCCCTTTTATGAAGCCATCGAGGATCCAGTGCAGACTCAGGAAGAAGTCTGAGGGGTCTGTGACTCATTATGAGGATAGGCTGCAGGTATTTTATGTCTACCCAAACTGCCAAGGGGGAAAAGAGCCAAGATGGAGCAGAGGGAATTCTGTCTAATATTGTCAAATGTACCTTGAATTAATATGTGTAATAGTATTTCAGAACATTAAAAGAGTTATTTAAAACATCTAAAATTTGCCTTTCAATCTATTCTGGAATTATTTTCATTTATCTTTTGAAACTTGAGTTTTGCTTGTTATAAGAATGTGTTGTTCTGCTGGTGATGGTGGCGCACGCCTTTAATCCCAGAATTTGGGAGGCAGAGGCAGGTAGATCTCTGTGTGTTCAAGGTCAGCCTGGTCTACAGAGTGCGGGATAGGCTCCAAAGGTTTTTTTTTTTTTTTTTTTTGTGTAATTCTTAAGTGGTCAGTTTGGTTTTGTTCACCCACATAACTACAATTCATAACATGGTCCCTCCCGTCCTTCTCCAGTCAATTACGTGAACCCCAGAGGCAGTGATCACCCGCGGCTGTCTGTGAGGCACAGGCTTTTATAGAAGGTAATTTTGCTTCTTGATCATGTACTACTGAGTCCTCAGTCAGTGACTGTAACACGAATAGAGACCCTTATGATCAGAGAAGCAAAGCAGTTAGCCACTAGCTCTCACCTCTGCCTCAAACCGAAATAGGTGACCCAGTTAGCTCCATGAGTCCTCAGAGTGCAGCGCAGCCTGCACTGCTCCCCACCAAGCCTCGGAGGCAGTGTGTTCTGCTCAGCATGGCTGGAGACTAACTGCCTAAGACTGCCTTTGCTTCTTCCTTATACCCTCTCTGCCCATCACTCCTGTCTCCACCTCCTTAGTGCTGGGATGAAAGGCATGTGATCCCAAGTGCTGAGATCACCTTTGTGTGAGCTGTTTCTCCTTTAGACTGGATCAAGTTTGTGTAGCTCAATGTGGCCTCGAACTAACAGAGAACCACCTGCCTTTGTCTCTGTCTTCTGAGTGTTTCACCCCTTCCTCCAGCTCTCTGACTTCATCCCTACCAAAGATGGAATCAGTGTGTTTGTCCATGGACAGATGAGTGCATGAAGATGTATTGTCTCATGATAGAACGGCCTTTAAAAGCAGGGGATTCTCTCAGTTGTGGGCACATGGTGACCAGGGAGGGAGGGCATTATGCAAGGGAAATAGGAAACTACTGTATGATTTGACTTGTATGCAGCATCTACACCTGTTGAGATAGAGGCACAGCATGGCAGCCACCAGCAGATGCAGTGGGAGATGGGAGAGATGTCAGCCAAGACACAATGTTTAAGTTGTACAACATAGTATGTGTAAGTTTTGTCAATTAAAAAATAAATGGAGAAAAATAGTACTTTTTAATTTCAGAAAACTCTGCCAGCATATCTTTTCCTCAGCTTGTCATGTTTATTAAATTAGTCATTAAAACATAATCTTATATATCTCTCCATGACTAGGTGTTGGAGTAATAGCTTTAATTTCTAGGACCCCAAAGGTTTTATGGTGACATGTTACTCTATTTCAGTTGAATTTACATGGCTTATGGATGGCAAAATATTATATTCATTATACTCATGGTAATGATTACAGCCAGTATTTGGATCTCTCAGTTTCCAAAATGCCCAAATGACCATGTCAAATACTGGAAAATTTTTTTTACATTTATTTGTGTGTGAGTGTGTATGTGTGTGTGTGTATGAGTGTGAATGTGCGAGTGTGAATGTGTGTGAGTGTGAATGTGTGTGTATATGTGTGTGAGTGTGTATGAGTGTGAATGTGCGAGTGTGAATGTGTGTGTGAGTGTGAATGTGTGTGTATTATGTGTGTGTATGAGTGTGAATGTATGTGTGTGTGTATGAGTGTGAATGTGTGTGTATATGAGTGTGAATGTGTGCATGTGTATGTGTGTGTATATGAGTGTGAATGTGTGTGAGTGTGAATGTGTGTGTGTGTGTGTTTGTGCGTGTGTGCGCGCCATTCATGTTGAAGGCACTTGTGATTGGAGGTCAGATGGCTCTTATGGAAGAGCTGATTCTTTTCTTCTACCATGTGGGTCCCTGGGTCCAGCCTGCAGATTGTCAGGCTGGAGTGGAAGTGCCTTTATTAGGTGAGCCATCTCATTGACCTGCAAATACTCTCATATCCTTTCTTAATACCCGTTCATTTTCTTATGCATATGATTATTACTGTTGTTATTACTGCCATAGACAGTGTCATGTAGCCCAGGTTGCCTCACTAGGGAGAAGCTCATTCTCTACCTCTAACTCCAGCATTCTGGGATTACTGGTAGAATACACAGCACATCTTGCTGTGCCTATTTACATTTCTAAAAATATAGGCTTTTAATTTTTAAAATTTATTTATTATACAGTGTCCTGTCTGCATGTATGCCTGTAGGCCCAAGCAGGCACCAGATCTCATTATAGATGGTTGTGAGCCACCATGTGGTTGCTGGGAATTGAACACAGGACCTCTGGAAAAGCAGCCAGTGCTCTTAACCTCTGAGCCTTCTCTCCAGTCCTAGCCTATTCAACTTTTGTTTGAATGACCATTGTGCTCAGATACTAAAGTCATCTTCAATAATAATATTTTAAATTTATTTTTTTATTTCAGTTCATTCAGCCTGTGAAGAAATCATAGAGTCTAAGGCACAAGAAGAGGAACCTAGTAGTTTGCTTAAATATTTCAGTGTCGTTTGGTGTAAAGCTTCAAAGAAAAAACACAAGAAATGGGAAGGCGATGCCATTCTTATTGTAAAAGGAAGGTCTTTCACATTGAAAGATATGGAAGGCAAAGACATCGGAAGAGGTATTGTGACATATTACCTGTCTTTATGATTTGCTCTAAAATTAGTATGTATTTATGGCTGTCCATTGAGACACAGTTGGGCTTTATAAAGGGACCAATTGGGATGTTATTTAATTGAATTTTGTGCCTCAACTGTGTACCTGATGTTTTTTGTAATAGTGAACCCAACATTCTGAGCTATGTTAGCTCATTTGGGCAAATTCTGTCCTACCATTTAATTTTCTCTGAAGGGTGGCAGTGAGCCACAGGTGTCCGGGCACTCTGCTGAGATTAAGCAGTTTGTCCTGGTCTCCCCCGCTCCCCGCAACCTCCCACATGAAGTGGCTGAAATTGTAAAGAGCTGTCACTTAGAAGTTCAATGCTATCCAGTTTCAGTGCCACTGAATAAGAATTTGGACTATAGAATAAGGAGATAAGGGTTAACCCTGACTATATCCACATGGCAGAACTGGAGGACACCATGATTGCACAACTCTTTCCGAGGAATGTTCTAGTACAAAACAGTCTGCAGATTCAGACACTTCACTGGAGTTTTTGTATTGCCCTCTGTTGTTTAGTTTTGAGTTTGGCCAAATTATAGAACCTGTGGTTTATAGTTTGTTTTTCAGCTCATATGCCAGCTATTAATTTGGAGTAAAGGTTCAGAGATGAACATATGTGTGTGTGTATGCACGTGTGGGATAGCTTAGTAAGCATAATATATATATATATATATATTATGGCTTAGTAAGGAGACGGCACAGTAATTGATAATTAGGAGGTGGTAAGATAGTTTCAGTAGGAATTTTTTTTTTTTGGTTTTTCAAGACAGGGTTTCTCTGTAGTTTTGGAGCCTGTCCTGGAACTAGCTCTTGTAGACCAGGCTGGTTTCGAACTCACAGAGATCCACCTGCCTCTACCTCCCGAGTGCTGGGACTAAAGGTGTGTGCCACCACTGCCTGGCTCAGTGAGAATTCTTGCCAGCTACGATGTCATTGTTAAGAAACTGGGAGACCAGGGCATGCTTCAGAAGTGACATCATTGAAATCTGAAGGAGAGACGGATTCAAGGATTTGGTCTTATTTTCTAAAAAAAAAATAAAAATGACACTTTTAATAGTAATTATAACACCTTTTAAGTTTTATTTCATTTTTAACTATGTATATGTGTGTATTTCTGTGTGTGGGTTTGTGTGTGTGTGTGTGTGAGAGAGAGAGAGAGAGAGAGAGAGAGAGAGAGAGAGAGAGGGGTAAGAGGACAAGTTTTGGGAGTCGTGTACTCTGGGCTAGCTTGCTCAAGACTTTCAAGCAATTCTCCTGTTCCAAACCTCCCATTGAAGGGACCAGACCCTCACCCAGCCCCCTGCTTTGGCAGCCATGACCGTACAGAAAAGAGCCAGCAAGATGTAGGCCCCTGACTCAGCAACATGTGGCACTAGGAAGCCAGATACCATCCTTTGGTAGGGAACCAATCAGAAGATAGCTGGCGGGCTCTGGATGTGCTTTGCATTAACAGTGGCATGCAGAGCATAGCAACCGCCCTGGGAGGGCCTATAGGCCATAGCAACCAGTTGGCCAACCAACACAGGACAGGTCGCCCAAGCCGGGAAGTGCACCAATCCTGAGACTGTTGTGGACCCCAGATACTCCCCTTGCCCCAGTAAATTCCCTGTCCCTCGGTCCCTCAGGGTCCGCTCGATGCACCTGCTGTATCAGATGGACAGAGGGATCAAGTTAATACAGTTAACTTGTTAAATTATTAAAGAGTCTTTGCTTTTGTATTGAACCGGGTCTCTTTTGGGGTTCAGAACTTGGGCACAACATCATCTTACCATAAGGATGCTGGGAAGTGAGCTGGAGAGAGTGTTTATTGGTTGAGAGTACATATTGCTCTTCACTTGGACCTGAGGTCGGTTTCTAGCATCTCACAGGGCAGCACTCACAGAAATAAATAATAAAACTTGAAGAAGTGCTAAGATTGTAGACACCACTGCATTAGAACAAACGAACGAACGAACGAACGAACAAAAACCCCCACCTATCTTTTAATGTGGGTTCTGAGAATTGAACTTGAGGCTTAGTCATCTGAGTTGTCTCCTGACCCTTGTTCTTTTCTTAAATCAGAATACTAAATTATGTTTATGGCTAATGAGATATACACTGTTATTTATATGCACAGTTCAGTGTGTAGTCTGTACAGTCATGGGAAGGTTACTGTTTTATTACTAAGTTTTCTTAGAATGTCAGTTCAGTTAATTTGTTTTCTTCCTTAAAGGCATCGGCTATAAGTTCAAAGAGCTTGAAAACATAGAAGAGGGCCAGACACTGGTGATTGGTGGAAAAGAAATAGAGATCCTGGGTGTAGTCTCTCCTGACGACTTCAACAGTGGCAAGTGTTTTCAGCATGGAAATGGAAGCCCTGTGGTCCCTGGTTCTCCGGCAGCCAGGAAGTGCTTTTCTAACCCTTTCAAAAGGCTTCACCAGTCAGAGGGAAATAGACCGGATGACTGGCAAAGCTGCAAACCACGCCATGACCCTTGCATGCCAAGTAAGGGTTTAAAGAGAGTTTGAACCTTCTGCTTTCATCGCCCAAACGTTTTGGACATGTGAATTGACATTTAAGTTTTGGTTGAGGTCAGGCCTGAGTTTCATAGTGAGTTGAAAGCCAGTGTAGATTATATATTGAGACCTGTCTCAAAACCACACACTAAATAAAACGAAAACATTTCAGGTGAGGGACTGGAAAGATGGATTAGTGGGGAGAGGCACCTGAATTTGATCCTTGGGACCCACATGGTAGAAGGAAAGAACCGACTCCCACAAGCTGTCCTCTGGCCTCAGATCCATCCCATGGCACGCAGACATCTACACATACAACATTTAAGTTTTTTCTTTTTTCTCTGTTGGTGTATACCTTAGCACTCAGGAGGCAGAGGCAGGCAGATCTCTGTAAGTTCAGTGCCAGCCTGGTCTGCAGAGTGAGTTTCAGGACAGCCAGGGCTGTTCCACAGAGAAACCCTGTCTTGGGGGTAGGGGTTGAAAATTTGTAGGTAAAGATTCTATTCAGATATACCCTTTGACATAAAGAATAATGCTGAAATCAAATTCCTTCGGGAGTTATTTAACATTTGTAACCCCAGTGCTATGCTGATCTTGGCATTTGGTGCGGCTCTGTAGGGATTTCCAGGTTCTTGCTTCCCAGAACAAAGCCTGGAGCAGGGACCTAGCTGCAGCAGGAACAGTTTGTTGGTGCACGGTACACTTCCAGGGAGGGGGAAAAGTTTAGAAGCTCCATGGCAATGCTACAAAAAACGACCAACGCTTTTATAGGCAGGAGTCACAGGCTTTTTGGCTCATTTGCATGGGGAATGCTCTCTACCCCATGTAGTTTGCACTGAGCCAGAGGTTGCCCTCTCAGCTCTGGCCTTGTCTGCTGCTTCTTGTTGATTTGTGCCAAGGATTCCAGCCTTTCTTTTTGCCAGGAGGCCTATCTCACATGCTAATTTTGTAGCCTTGGCTAAGTCCTTCCTGACCTCACTCTCTGCCCTGTCCAGGCTCAGATCCTCCCTGGGAGCTTTTTCGGGAACTGAAGTATAATGGCACAACTTATAATCACTTCTTGCTGTTGAGGAAGGAGTGTAGTCCCTTCCTGTGAGAGACCACAGAATTCTCTCTGTTCGTCCACTGACTGGAGAGGAGGACACACACTCCTGTGGTAGGGATTGGCTGGAGTCTCCACGGTAAAAGTAGCCTGGCGTTGCTGTGTTCTCAATGACACAAAGCTACAAAGGGTGCAGCCTTCTGCAGGTCAGAGAGACTGGGAACAGATGCAGAGTTGCCAAGAAAAACACAGACTTTTTTCCTGAGGGATAAAAGCTTCTTTATTTTATTATTCTTTCTGTCCTTGTTCTATTCTTTTTCTGTTGTGTTCTTCTATGCTGATGTTATTTCCCTTGTCTTTATTTTTTTTCCTTACAGCTTATACCCAGTGAAATCTTTTAAGCAATAAACATTGCAGTGTGGTTACACGCCTTTAATTCCAGCACTTGGGAGGCAGAGGCAGTTGGATCCCTGTGAGTTTGAGACCAGCCTAGTCTATGGAGCTAGCTCCAGGACAGCTAGGGCTGTTACACAGAGAAACCTGTCTCGAAAAACCAAAAAAAAAAAAAAAAAAAAAAAAAAAAAATTATTATGTATTCTGCCATCTCTCCAGCCCCATGGTTAAGAGCATTGGCTGTTTTTCCAGTGGTCCTGAGTTCAAGTCCCAGCAACCATGTGGTAGCTGACAACCATCTGTGATGGGATCTGATGCCCTCTGCTGGTGTGCAAGCATACATACATATGCACAGTTCTGTAGTACAGCCATCATGATTTTAATCTTCAGGTTTAGGAGGGAAAGTCTTCAGGCTATAGAAGACAGCATAGAGCCATGACTATGTTCTGATAATGTGGCCAAACAGAAGGACTCCGTCAGGGGATGGACCAGATGGACCACTGCTGACTGTTACAGAGCTGAGCTTTGTGTCCATGACTTTACCCACATGCAGTGGGCGTTAATTCGATGTACTGGAACCCGTTTTCTCTCCTTTCTCCCCTCTTTGTTAACCCCCTTTTCTTTCTTGTTCATTTTTAGTCCATTTTTATTTAATTTAGAAACAATCTTATTTTACATTTACATATCAACCCCAGTTCCCTCTCCTTCCCATCCTCCCATGTTCCCCACTAACATGCCCCCCCCACCCCATCCCGCCTGGATTGAATTAAGTTTTAATCATGTTGTTAACATGCAAACATACTCCAAAAACAGTTTTTTGTTTTGTTTTGTGTTTTGGTTTTTCAAGACAGGGTTTCCCTGTGTAGCTTTGGAGGCTGTCCTGAACCTTGCTCTTGTAGACCAGGCTGGTCTCGAACTCCCAAAACCAGTTTTGATGGATGGATTATCTTCAGATTTATCAGTTGTCAGTCATCTTGTGATGTTTGATTTTGTCTCTGAAGGATACTTTAGTGAATCCTCCTTTAAGTTGTGCTACCTTATTTCTGAATAATTATATTATCATTTGATGGTTAATTCATACTGCTTTGTAAAAGCCCGTGAATTTGACATTTCATGAATATCATTAACTTTAAACAAATAATGATGGTTAAAGGGATGGGAAATGTGTCATTCTTTCTCAGTTCTGATGAATGTTATTAGAAGTGGTGGCCTCTGTCAGAGTTTATGGCCCTTTAGATAAAGGCAGCCATTTGTTGAGCTTGGGAAATCTTTGTAGATGAGAATCTGTGAACGCTGGTAAGTGTATCTTCCACTGGGAGTGAGTGGCTGTCCGTTCTCCAAAATGTGGGGTGCTGTGCTTGCTGAATTAGACAAAAAGAATTTCAGTGTCTGTGACACTTCTGAGGATAGGAAGCTTATGACTTCGTCTCCCCTCTCCTCCTTACCTCCTCTCCCCTCCCTCCCCTCCTCTCCTCTCCTCTCCTTTTCCTTCTTTTTTCCCTCTTTGGCCTAGAACTCCCTGTCTTGCTTCTGCCTTTAGAGTGCTAGAATTATAGGATTATAGGTGTGTGTCCATCCCTAGCGTGCACATGTGCGCGCGCGCGCGCACACACACACACACACACACACCATAAATGATGATAAGCTGTTCTCGTGTAGAAGTAATGGGAACAAGATAATATTGTTGCTGATAGTGATCACACCTTTAAACCTTGACCTTATTTTTAAGATTCTCTAGTTATGCCGAGACCGGACCAGAATCACCAGTGGCTGTTCAATAGGAGCTGCTTTCCTCTTGTGGATGTGGTGGTAGACCCTCATCTTGTCCGTCACCTTCGATCATTTCAGAAAGAGGGAATCATCTTCCTCTACGAGTGTGTTATGGGAATGAGGTAGGAAAATAAATGACAACAGTTAGCTGTTTTGAGAAGAATATGCACCATAAATGCTAACTGGTAGGAAAAGCAACTTGTACTAAATATGTGCATTTTTTCCACGGTGGTTGTTGGTGGAGCCATGTGCTAGATGTTAAGCTGAGAAGTAGGCATTCAGGAGCCAGGACTTTTAAGTAGTCTTTTTATGAAATTATTTCACTTTTTCCTCACAAAAACCATGTAAGTTAGGTAGGGTTCATTTTATGAACAATGATAAGAACAGAGCTTTACTTTCCCAACTATATTGCTGTTAAGAGGCAGTGTTAGCTATGGAGTATGGATGGTCAGCTTTTAGGGAAAGCTCTTATCTCTAAACCATATGGCTTCTAAGATGTACCTCTAATATAAATGTATGTGCTTGAGCTGGGCGGTGGTACTGCATGCTTTTAATCCCAGCACTCCGGAGGCAGAGGTAGGTGGATCTCTGAGTTTGTGGTCAGCCTGGTCTATAGTGTGAGTTCCAGGACAGCCAGGGCTACACAGAGAAACCCTGTCTCAAAAAAACAAAACAAAACAAAAAAAAACCCACCAAAACAACAACAACAAAAACTCCAAATAAACAAACAAACAAGATAGATAAATAAATAAATGTGCATATGATGTATGTTTATAGATATGTATACACACATACTTTTTTATACTAGGGATTGAACCTAGGATTTTGTACAAGCTTTTTTAACTTCAAGTGTTTTTCCTCTTACTCCTCACTTTCACATTGAACCAACTCTTCCCAGGCTTCAACAAAAGATCTAATTCCACAGTATTCATGCTAAATTTATGCCTCTACTCACAAAGATGTGTGGCTACAAAAGGTGTGTGGGAGAGAGCCATTTCTTCGGCTTGAATCTCACAGCATAAGCTAAGCAATCTGAAGGACGTTGATGGCTGAGGAAGTTGACAGGAACTCGGCACCATATCTCAGTTCCGTTCACGCCTCACTTCCATGAGGGTCAGTCCAGAACCATCTCAAAGTGAAATATGCCGGGAGCTTTTCAAGAGCATCTGACTCTCATCAGTCTGTTGATCCTCTTTGTGAGCGTGTGTGTGTGTGTGTGTGTGTGTGTGTGTGTGTGTGTGAGCACGTGTGTACTCCTGTGCATGCGTACGCGGATGCATGCATGCGTATATGGGCATGAGGTCAATTTCAGGTCTCATAGGTATCATCAACCTCGTGTTTTGAGATATGGCCTCTTGCTGATCTTTGCCAATTTGGCAGACTGGGTCCTGGGGATCTGCCTGTCTCTGCCTCCACTGCCCTGGGATTACAAGTGTGTCCCACCATGCCTGGCTCTTTACATAGGTTGTGAGATTGAATTTAGGTTTCCATTTATGCTGCAAGTGGAACCATTTCTCCAGATACTGCTTATTAATTCTTATTTCTAATAGAACATAATTTAACAAACTATACACATATTTTTAGTCATATCCTTAATTCCATTGGACATTGTAACTTTTAAATCTCATGCAGTTATCTATAAAGAATCTCCTAATGCCTTTTCATTCTAAGTTATGTTAATTGTATGATGTCAGACCTCTACCTATTTTGGCTGAGGATGCCATTGTCTGTCAGAAGTGATAAGTTCTTACTACAATCTCATCTCAGATCTTGCTGACTAAAATTTCAATATATTTTGATTGGTTTTTTGATATCTAATACTGAAATTGATTAAATGTGTTCAAATGTTAGTGATGAGGAACATAGCTATAGTTAAATTATCCCAGTTTAGGTATAAAGTTGGAATTCATTTCTAGTATTCAACTATTTATAGCTGACAGTAACGGAGGGTGTATATTCAGGTCCTTAATTTCAGATTCGTGTTTTGGTTATTAGTTCACATATATAATGGTTATAATTGTCAAAGATTCAGAAGTGAAACACTAAACTAATCTCTAGGGTTTTATTACCAGGTTTCTCTTTTTGATGATATCAGGGCATGAAATAGTTTCCCATTGTGATTCAAGAAAGTGTAATTGTTTCTAACAGGGCAAACGGCAAATGTGGTGCTATTCTTGCTGATGAAATGGGTTTAGGAAAAACATTGCAATGTATCTCGCTCATCTGGACCCTACAGTGTCAGGGACCTTATGGAGGCAAGCCAGTAATCAAGAAGACACTTATTGTCACCCCTGGAAGCTTGGTGAATAATTGGAGGAAAGAATTTCAAAAATGGCTGGGCAGTGAAAGGATCAAGACATTCACTGTTGATCAGGTAAGCAATTTTTAAAGGTTTGAGCCCTCACCATCCTTAAAACTCCCAGCCTTTAAGTCACCAATTTACCTTTAGTCTTTTGAGTGTGTATAATGCACACACCTCTTGCATGGAGGTGGAATTTTGACCTATGCTTTGATTTTAAGTTGTTGTGGCATGGTTACCTCTGGTACCATAGATTCACATACTCAGGCACTGACTCTCAATGTGGGAGCACTCATTTTCTTGCAGTGTGATCAAGTCATATCATGAGTTGGAAATGCAGCTGCACACATGTCTGTGATCCCAGAACTTTGAGGGCTCAGACAGGAGGGTGCAGAATTTAAGGCGAGCCTGAGCTGTGTGAGACCCCAGCCTACACGCATGCTCGCACACACAGTATTCATATAATGTTTTCTACATCATAGTTTAACCCAGTTTACATTAAAAGTGCTTAGAACACATTAGCTATAGCTTGAAAAAGTCAGGGTTAGTATGTGGACAGGTGGTTCAGGAGGACATTGGGCTGGGTTACTGGGGACTACAGAGTTTCTTACAAGAGTTATTAATAACCTGGCACAGAGAGACAGCATGGCAGTGTCTTTGAAGAGACTCAAAGGCCAAGCGGCAGAAAAGGTAGTGTCTTCACACACCTTTGAGGATGGGGGCAACATAGACCCCTTTGATGTAGATTGAGTAGACACGTCCAGCTGGGGTGCCATGGCAGGGGCAAGGCTGCTTGCTCTGGGTTCATAGACAGTGACCCCAGGGGTATGTGCCAGTATTTGGGAGGGCGGGCCTGAGCAGAAGCTACCTGCTAGCTCTGTATACAGTCAGCCACCTTGTGAATTCATTTTATAATAAAATGTTGACGATTTCTTTTGTTTTACTGAATACTGAGAAATATCGTAAGTGAACCAGTGAAGTCATCCAGGAGCTGGCAATGCTTTTATTTCAGGAGATGGGACCCTTGGGAGTGTAGGATTAGATACGGTCCTCGGATGGAGCCCTAGGATGGGATTAGTATGCTGGTTCTAAAGGAAGATAGGTCACATCTGCCTGTCCATCATGTGAGCCAGAGGACTTCCTAGTGAATCCAGGAAGAAGGAGGCTTTTGTGGTAGCGGTCAGCGCCTTCCTGGGCTGACTTAGAGTTACGTTAGGATCAGCTGTGTGGGGCTTTGCTGTTGCTCATGGGTAGTTTGGGTCCTTTGACTTAAGATGTCGGTCAGGCCCCGTGTTTGTGGGATCTAAAGCACTTGGAGGGGAGAGCTCAGAAGGAAGGAAAAGCAACAAAATGACTTAACTAGGTCAGTGGCTGGCACTGCCTGCTGCTCAAACCATCTCGACGTAGCCCAGCGGGACCAAGACAGGAAGAGCAAATGGATTCTGTCTTTGGTTACTGATGGGCAAAATATGTTGGTTAGGTTTGATTTTATGGTTTACTAAATCTTATTTTTCTCTCTTCAGGACCACAAAGTTGAGGAATTCATCAAATCCACATTTTACTCTGTTCTTATCATCAGTTATGAAATGCTACTTCGTTCCCTAGATCAAATTAAGACAATAAAATTTGACCTTCTGATCTGTGATGAGGGGCATCGTTTGAAGAACAGTAGCATTAAGACAACGGCAGCCCTCTTCAGCCTCCCTTGTGAGAAGAGAGTGATTCTGACGGGTTAGTAGCCCCTCTGGGGAAGACATGGTGGGATTTTTGTCTAATGAACTTTTACAGTTTATAATCTGATGCTTGACATAAAAAGAATTCATATGAATAAGCCTGCATTAATTGATTCCGAATTTTCCAATCCCTGTCTGGTTCTGTGCAGCCCTGTTTCTGGTCCCTTGAGGAATACATTTAGTGGTAGCATTGTACAGGATGTAGGAGATGGGGCTGAACTGTGCTTGGCTTCAGTCTGGCGGTGAGGCTGTGTAACTTGAGAAGTTACGTGACTCCTCAGTGCCTCGGTTTCCTTGTCTGTGAAATAGGGATGAGATGGCATCCCTGTCACAGAGCTGTGAGGGAAGGCCAGGGGAGTGGATGTGTGTCGTTAGGACTCCCTGTCGTGTGGTTGGCTTTTCAGACTTCCAGCTATTTTTCTGTGTGTGTGTGTGTGTGTTATATGTGCATGGCTTAGTGCTAGCCAAAGCTTCCAGCCAGTCTGGAAAGGTAGGGAGACCACGTGTAATACAAGAAGCCCATTTTGTCTGCTCCTTTTAGCTTAAGGCCTAACTTAGAGTCTATTGAATCTGAGTTTCTCAACATAATTTTCCTCTCATACTTCATCTTGATACATTACCAGTCTTCAGTTTGCCATTCTGGCAGGAGAAGGAAGAAAGTTTTATTCATTTCTAATAATGCTTAACCAATCTCTCCATTTTCTACTCAAGGTTCCATTCCCTGTCATTTTGCTCATAAGAGATTTTGTTTACATGTATGTGTATATCTCTGTGAATGTGTGCCGTGTGAGCGTGTGCATGTGTGCATGGGAGCCAGAAGAGGACACAGATGCCCTGGAACTGGAGTTTCTGTTGGCTGTGAGCTGCTATGTGGGTGCTGGGTACTGAGTCCAGGTCCTCTGAAAGAGCAGAAGATGCTTTTAACCTCCGAGCATCCTTCTGTCCCCCCATTCCCTACTGGGCTGTACATTTCTGGAATGAATTGCAGGCGTGGCCTCTGTGTGATCTTGTTCTTCATGCGTGCCAGAGCCCTTCTGTGACATAATGGGACGAGGGAAGGGCTATAAACAGCCAGTTTCTTTCTCTACGTCTTCTTACAGATAGAATATATCCCAAAGAACAGAGGAGGGCCAACTCTGCCTTCCTTTCTTAGCAAGTTGGGGTAGCACACCTCCTTAAACAATTCAGTTCTTTACTTATTTGTGAAGTAGGACTTCTATTAGCCATTACTAGCGGTGATTTTTAAAACTATACTTTAAGAGTAACTTTGAGCTAGGGTGATCCTGGACACCTGTGACGCAGGCTTTCAGAAGACAGAGTCAGGAGAATGGTCCCTGAATTCAAGGACAGCCTTCTCTGCATAGTGAGTTCTAGAGCTATACATTGAGACTTTGTTGCAAAAACAAAACAAGACAATAATTTCTAGCCAGGTGTGGTAGTATACTCCTGATCCTGCAGCAGCTGAGGAGGAGGCAGGGTGATTGATCACAAGTTCAAGGACAGCTTAGTGACCCCCACATGTTTAATGCTCTTTAAACATAAGGATTTGTTTACGTGAGACACAGTATCCCTAGTGGCCTAGAACTCAGGCAATTCTCCTCATTAAGCTCTGTTTTTAACACCTTTTAAAATCACCCGTTATCTATTTTTGTTTTGTGTGTGTGTGTGTGTGGGGGGGGGGGAGGGTGAGCATGTGCTTTGGAGGTCAGAAGACAACTTGTGGGAGTCTGTTCTGTCCCTTCCACTGTGTGGGGCCTGGGATGGGACTCGGTTTTTGGGCTTGGCCACACCTTCACCTACTGAAGTAGCTTCCTGGGCCTGGATTTTTTTTTTTTTTTTAAAGTAATTTAGTCAATTAGTGATGGAAAAGATAAAAATAATTGTTGTCAAATATAAGTATCTTGATGTCCAATCCATGTTTAGTAGATGAGTTTTGTATGTAACAGTAACATGAAAATTGTAGAGAAGCTGGTATTTAATACCTATAAAATTTTGTTCTTAAAGCAAACATGGAATTGGAGAAATGGAAAGCTTAATGCAGGTGAGTTTTGTGTCTTTGGCTGTTTGAGGAACTGAATGGCTCCCTCCAGCTTCATGACCACGTGGATCTTGAGAGCCGTGGGGGGCAGTGGCTGGACTCGGTTACAATATGTGATTATTTCTCTGCACCGTTCAATGTGAGGCCAGCATCGCAGCTATAAAATGAAAAGATTAGCTCTGAGTAAGGAGGGGACATGAAGAGGAGTGGAAAAGGAAGGTTTTAAAAAGAGCTGCAGGCAAGGAGTGAGTAGATCTCTCCTCACTTGGATATCAGATAGCTGTGCTTAACAAGAGCAGACAGCGCCTCACGACTTCTTCCTCGAGAAGCCACCTGCTAGTTTCACATTCCACACGAGGTCCTCCTCGTCAGGGGGAGGTTAGCTCTGCTCTTCCTTAGGAGCAATGCTCTGTTGGTCACCCGTCAGATGGCTTCACAGAGGGATTGCTGTTGTCCTTTGTGCCCTACTTTGTCAGACTTGATACTTTTTGCTTTCCTGTCCATGTCACTTTGCCCTTGGGGCTTTGAATTTGGATAAAAACTAGCTCTAACTTCTTAAAAAAAAAAAAATGCGTGTGTGTGTGTGTGTGTGTGTGTGTGTGTGTGTATACATATGTATACACACACACACATATATACACATATTCCCCCAAGACAAGGTTTTGCTGTGTAGCCTTGGCTGTCCTGTCCTGTCCTCAGACTTACAGAGATCGCCTGCCTTTGCCTCCGGAGTTCTAGGATTAAGGCCTCCGCCACCACTGCCCAGAGTTATGGCTGTTTTGTTTTGTCCTTAGAGTTGTCTGAGTCTACTCATCATCTATCTCTCTGTCCCTGTCTATCATTTTTGTAGTGCTAGGGACTGAACCTAGGATTTTTTTTTTCTGCTTTCAATATTTTGGAATTGAAAATAAATTCTTTTCTCATACAGTATGTTCTAATTACAGTTTCCCCTCTCTTTACCCCTCCCAGCTCCTCTCCACCTGCCCTGCAGTCCCCTCCTTTTTTCTCTTATTAGAAAAGTATGGGCTCCTAAGAGAATAACCAAATGTGACAGAATAAAATATAATAAGATGAAGCAAAAGCTATTGTATCGGAGCCAGGCAGTGGTGGCAAACCCCTTTAATCCCAGCACTTGGGAGGCAGAGGCAGAGGCAGGGTCTCTCTGAGTTCAGGGCCATACTGGTCTATAGAGTGAGTTTCAGGACAGGCTCCAGAGCTACAGAGAAAACGCTGTCTGGAAAAAAGCACAAACAACAACAATAGCAACAAACAACAACAAATCCCTCCCCAAAACAAAAACAAATACTATTTATCAAAATTGGCTGTTGCAGTCCAGCAGGAGGACAAGAGTCAGAGACTCAAGCTGTTTGTTCCCAGAGTCAGGAGTCCCATAGAGATGCTAAGCTAATATCTATAATATGTACGCTGAGGACCTGGTGCGGGCCTGTGTGGTCCAGGGCTCGCTGCTTCTGTCTCGGTGAGCTCATGCACTTTGCTCAGGTGACTCAGAGGGCCTTGCCGAGTAAGCTCTCTGCAACTGAGCTGGGTCTGTGAGCCAGTTCTTTGGTCTTATAACGGTAGGACATTTGCTCCAAAAGTGATGTTTCTCTCTGTGAAGGTACAAGTTTGCATATGAACTTGTGGTGATACTCACTTTTCCATAGGGGGAGAGATTTTCATTTTTGTTTCCTGTTGTTTTCTGGCCCATTGTTACACAAAAGCCTTCAGCTGGTGTTGATCAGAAAGTGGTTAGGATTAGATAAGTAGTAAGCATATTGGTCTGTCAGGGTTGCCATGATGAAAGTGCCACAGACTGTGGCTTACCCAACGCCCTCCTCGTGGTTATCAAGACTAGCAGCCCAATACGTAGGTATATTATGTGGGTTGGCTGCTCTGTCCCTCAGCCAAAGGGGACAGCTCTTACACCCTGTTTCATGGGTGTAAATATCCTGTTTAGGGCTATCAAGGGGAGAGGTGGGTTCAGAACATGAGCAGCCAGACTCCAGAGCCTGCCCTCAGACACTTTGCTAAACCAGATGTAAACATTCACATGGGTCTTGACATTTTAAACTTTGATTTGGCTGTTCTTCCTCAGTTTTAGGGTGTTTGCTTGTATTTATTGCTCTCAGGGAAGAACTTTGTACAGAGACCTGTGATTATAAAACAAACTTAACTTCTCATCACTTTATCTCTCCTTAGGTACCCCAGTTCAGAATGATTTGCAAGAGTTTTTTGCATTAGTTGATTTTGTTAATCCAGGAATATTAGGCTCTTTGTCATCTTATAGGAAAATATATGAAGAGCCCATCATTATTTCAAGAGAACCTTCTTCTTCCAAGGTATAATTTACTTCAATGATTTTTTTTTTCTTAAAGAGCAGTGTGTCTGGAAGAATCATAAGTTTGGTATTCACTTATATGCATTTTATTAAATCTAAGATACTACCATCAATAATCGATACCACTGTTCTATGTATCACTAAAAAGAACACCACTAAAATTAAAAGTATCCTAGATGCTTTGGAATCTAGGGTAGTGTGGGCTACAAAATTTGACTATTTAAATCTCTCTCTCTTTCTCTTTCTCTCTCTCTCTCTTTCTCTCTCAGTCCCCCAGACATAGCGACTCATGCATTTAATCCCAGCACTCAGGGAGGCAGAGGCAGGCAGATTGCTGTTAGTCTGAGTAGGAAACACCACATCCCATTTTGTTTGTTTATTGTTTGCTTTGGAGTAAGTTTGCTGTAGTTCAGGTTGACTTTGAACTGATCCATCCATTTCCTTAGCCCAGGGATTATAAACATGAACAAAACAGTTTTATTAGGTGCTAAGTGGATCAAACCTAGGGTTTCTTATATGCTAGACCAGCAATCTAAACACTGATCAGCATCTCCAGTGCCATATCTTGTTTTAGAGAAGTTAAATTACAAAGGTAATCTGTCAACATATAGTTTATAAGCATGTTACACAAATCAGAACAACATAAAATAATGGCTTATGTGACTATTTAATAATTGCATGAAAAAATGTTCATGGTATATAACATAAAAATAGTGTTAGCTACTTACTGACCAATAGGCTTGATTTTGAGATAGGATTTCATTATGTAGGCCAGGCTGGCCTGGAATTTACTGTGTCTAGATCAAGTTGTCCTTCAACTTACAGAGATCCATCTACTGTGTCTATTAAGTGCTGGGATCAAAGGCAAGTACTATCACACTCAGCCCAGTATAGCACATATTTTATTGTGTTATATTAATACACTGGAGGAATAAAAAAATGTTCCATCATTGCATGAAACATCAAGTCAGCCCAGTCAGTACCTTGAAATTTCCCTTTTTTTTTTTTTTTTTTTTTTTTTTTTTGGTGGGTAGCATGGTTGCTACAGCCTGGGTGTGGCCACAGGACACTTTTGGGTCTTTTCTTCCGTCATGTGGATTGTAGGTTCCGGGGATTATACTCCAGTCAGCATTCGTTACTTACTGTTTATACTCCAGTCAGCATTCGTTACTTACTGAGCTGTCTCACCAGCTCAACAGTAGCTGTTTTAGATTTCTTATAATTCTGTATAGAATTATAGTTTCTACCTTTCCTTCAAAAGCTTTATTACATTTGTAACAAAAATTAAACTCTAAAATATAAGGGGGATATTTATATATGGGAATAAATATATACATAAGGGATTTGTTTTAAATTTCCCTGTAAAGTTTATGCTCAAAAGATTCTATAAAGAATTTAAGCATATGTCTTATTAACATCATATTTTGACTTAAAATATACATTGATGTAATGGCCAGTGTATAATGACTTCGAAAGTGTAAATAGTGTGCTGTGCTAGTAAAATTAAAAAAAAAGTAAGAATTTTATACCTGCTGGGCGTTGGTGGCACACGCCTTTAATCCCAGCACTCGGGAGGTAGAGGCAGGCAGATCTCTGTGAGTTCGAGTCAGCCTGGTCTACAGAGCTAGTTCCAGGACAGTCTCCAAAACAATACAGAGAAATCCTGTCTTGAAAAACCAAAAAAAAAAAAAAAAAAAAAAAAAAAAGAATTTTATGCCTGCACACAGTGTATTTCATATTTCATTCATATTCACTGTGCACCATTGTCCTGCCAGTTCCGTGTGTATGGACAGGCCCATATGGGTCCTTTTTGTTTGTGAACAACCAGCTAAATCCATCAGTGCAGCCCCTCTCTGTACAGGTGAAGGTCATCTCTGCACAGGGGAAGGTCATTCTCTGCACAGGGGAAGGTCATTCTCTGCACAGGGGAAGGTCATTCTCTTCACAGGGGAAGGTCCTTCTCTGGAAACACAGGTGGGGCTTGGCTTCCCCTCGCCCAGACCATGCTGTATTGATGACTGTCTGTATTGATGACTGTCTGTATTGATGACTGGCTGTTTTGATGACTGGCTGTATTGATGACTGGCTGTATTGAGGACTGGCTGTATGACTGGCTGTTTTGATGACTGGCTGTATTGATGACTGGCTGTTTTGATGACTGGCTGTATTGATGACTGGCTGTTTTGATGACTGGCTGTTTTGATGACTGGCTGTATTGATGACTGGCTGTATTGATGACTGGCTGTATTGATGACTGGCTGTTTTGATGACTGGCTGTTTTGAGGACTGGCTGTTTTGATGACTGGCTGTATTGATGACTGGCTGTATTGATGACTGGCTGTTTTGATGACTGGCTGTATTGATGACTGGCTGTATTGATGACTGGCTGTTTTGATGACTGGCTGTATTGATGACTGGCTGTTTTGATGACTGGCTGTTTTGAGGACTGGCTGTATTGATGACTGGCTGTTTTGATGACTGGCTGTATTGATGACTGGCTGTATTGATGACTGGCTGTTTTGATGACTGGCTGTTTTGAGGACTGGCTGTTTTGAGGACTGGCTGTATTGATGACTGGCTGATCGCGCAGGCTACCGAAGCTGCTGTGAGAGCATGAGTGAGTGAGGTGGTTCTGCTTGTCCAGAAGACACCATCTTGCTCTGCGTCCTCACCTGCAGCTCGCAGTCCTTCTTCTTGGCCTTCCCTGAGCCTTGCGGGGAGAAAACTTTGCTGGTGATTTTAAAGATGTGTAGCATTACAACTGTCAGATGAAAGCTGATTTTCAGAACAGGGTTCCCTTGGTGTCAATAACCAAACAGTGGTAAGGGGATTGTGGTTAATGGAATGATTATACCAAACATTTGATGGGGGGGGGGAGATAGCTAACACTAAGAATGTTTGAAAAGACTATATAAAAACTTTTTACTTTATTATGATATTGATATGATACATTTATTATATTACATACACATGAGCTAAGTTGGAGTTGTCTAAACATAGGAAGAAGCTCCCTCTCATAAGCCATAGATTGCCTAAAAAAAGCCCAGTATCAGGTGTGTGATGCCTCCCCATGAGTTGTTGGTCAAGGGTGTCTGGAAATCCTCCCAAAATATAGGCTGTCTATTGCTCTTGGTTGTCCATCAGAACTTGATGGTAAGACCCTATGCCTAGGGTAAAACCACACACTGTGGTCACAGGACATGGAGAAATCAAGTTGGCCCTGACCAGGAAGCTTTCTTTTGCTGGATAGCTTTACTAGTGCTGGAAGATGCTGTGCAGGCTTCTGGGAGAGAAAAAGAATCAAAAGTCTTACTTTGCTGTGAGCCTAGTGGGCTACATTAACAACTGTGTGTCAGCATCTAAGGATACAGTAGTAGACCGGGCATAGACCTGGCAGCAGTGGTCAAGTGCTTGCTGATTGGATTTGAGGCCTGCTTCACAGGTATTGCAAATCAGGCCAAGCACCTCTCCTTGGGGCATTCTTAGGCCCCAGCGGTTAGTTATTCTGCTAAGTGGACATAGCGTCTAGCTTTCTTCTATTCTTATCTTTATACCCAGACCTCCTCATAGATGTTTATTTGTGCACTGGATGGTAATTAACAAAGGAACTCACAACTGATGAGAGTCCAAAGAACAAGTATCTGAAATGAATACTCGGCCACCAATGAACATGCATATCATACCCTCCCTGCAGAAGAGAGAGTGGGAAGCCTGTGAGAACCAGGGATTAGGAGGGTCATAGCAGAACAGTGTCTTCTGGACACGGAAGGCTGTTGCTCCAGTGAGTTCACAGCAGCCTTGGTTTCTGTACAAGATCTATCCAGTCAGCATTGCATTATGGAGAGGCCCTTGAGCCCCCACCCCCAGCTGAGGAGCTAATGACAATGAATGGCTTCTGGGAGAGGATAATCAGTTTTCTTTAAGGATGTGGCATCTGGCAGGTTCACCATGCTCCAGTGGATGGTCCACACCAACGAGTATGTGGGTAGCAAAATTGGAGTTGGTGGGTGACTTAGACACTGTTCTGTTGCTGTGAAGAGACACCATGACCAAGGCAATTCTTGTAAAGGAAGACATTTAATTGGGGTCTGCCTTACAGTTTCAGAGGCTTAGTCCGTTATCATCATGTCAGGGAGCATGGCATCAGGCATGACAGTTATGGTGCTGAAGAAGTTGAGAGCTACATACATACATACATACATACATATCCTGCACTTACTCTACTATTGAGTTGGACTCTCAAATACTATGGTTGGGTTTTCTATCCCCATACATGTATTTCATTTCTGCTGTTGAAGGAGGTCTCATGTGGCTTGATAGTAGTATGTACTGTAATCTTGGCACCCTGGAGGTAGAGGCAGGAAGGAAGGTGAGTTTTAGGCCAGCCTGAGCTATGTAGTAGACTTTGTCTCAAAAGCTACCCCTCTGTCCCCCTAAAATCTGATGGAAATAATTAATGGTGATTTATCATTATATAATAGTTAACTATTATATACCTTTTAACCATAGCAACAGGTGTTTTGTGCATGCCACTTTTAACATCTGCTCTTTTTCCCTCAGGAAGAAAAAGAGCTAGGAGAGAGAAGAGCAGTTGAACTCAGTTGCCTCACCGGACGTTTTATCCTCAGAAGAACTCAGGAAGTCATCAATAAATACCTTCCCCCTAAGATAGAGAACGTCGTCTTTTGCCGTCCAGGAGCACTGCAAACGGAGCTTTACCGGAAGCTGCTGAGTTCTCAGTCTGTCAGGTTTTGTCTTCAAGGCCTGCTGGAAAATAGCACGCATCTCATCTGCATAGGAGCCCTAAAGAAACTGTGCAATCACCCTTCCCTTTTGTTCAGTTCTGTGAAGGTGAGTCGTGTGGAAACTGCCAGGCCCGAGGTGAGGGCTGTGTGGATTGTGCTTGGCCCTGGAGTGGCATTCGTGAGGGTTTCGAATGCTCAGTGGCCGGCCCTTCCTGTGTGGCTCTGCTGTAGAATGTCTAATAATTATTGAGATTTTCTGTACACCAAGAATGAAGTGCTTTTCTGGTTTTATTATTTTTTAAACTATTTGGAATAAGTATGATTACTGTCATCCCCCCCCCCCTTTTGTTTTGTTGGGGCTGTCCAGGCTGGTATTAAATTCTCAGGCTCCAGCTACTTTCCTGCTCCAGCCTCCAGAATGGCTGCACAGAGCGCACCTGCTCAGTTTCCACCCCTATTTCTGCGCCTCATTCTGGGACGGCTGCGACTACACAGAGCAACCTGTCTTGGAGGAGACTGAGAGATATTTGTGTGTAATCTCCTAGAACATTTCCCAAATTAGATTCCTTTTATAAGTGTGAATTTGAATGATGAGTGGTTGAGCCAACTGTTTGCATAGCTAATGACTAGAACGTGGTCTGCAGCATGGCAAGAATTCTTGGGATTAGGACTGGTATCAGTTCCTTAAAATTGTACCTGTAGTTCTTTTGCTGTGACCTGAGACCATCGTGCAGCTCAGGCTGGCCTTGAATTTCCTATGTACCTGAGCATGACCCTGAATTCTGATTCTAATTGCCCGTATTTCCCTACAGCTAGGATTATAAGTATGCACCACCAGTCCCTGCTCCTAATTTTTTAACTTTTGCCAAATCTGGTACTGAAGCTGTATCTGTGAGCATTGGTTTTCTTATCTGGAATTTGGAGCTAATAATTGTTTCGTGACTGTTATTCCATTTTAACGGCTTTACAAGAAATTATGGGAAGAACCTAGTGGAATGCTGGGTTAAAAAAACTTGCACAATAATCATTAATGGTATTTCCAGCTCACCATGGAAAACTTTCATTCGATTCTTTAAGCAATAAAATCAAAATATGTTCCCAAATGACCTAACCCAAACTGTGGATGCTAGCTTATGTACGAGATCATTAATTACATACTTAAAAAAATGGAGTGTTCTAATAGAATTCTCCAGGTCCATCCCACAATGGATCCCATTTACTTAGTTTATCATAGAAGTGAGCTTTATGTAACTCTACAAAGGCTGGAGTATAATAATTTACTAAGCAACTTTTAAAGAAACAGATTCTATTTACAGTGCTAAAAATTAAACATTTTGGGCATGAAGCCCAGGAAGAACGAGGCCAAAAAATTTTCCTTAAAAGGAAGAAATTATGATGGTTCAGAATATGTTACTTAATTTAGAATGTTTTTGCATATTTTGGGTGTGTGTATGTGTTGTATATAAATGTGTGTGTCTACCCCAATCATCAATTCTTTATAGTGTAAGCGTACTCAATTATTTAAACTAAATCCTGGGTCAAGACTTATGTAGATCTAACCTGACATATTCTATCAATGCCTTGACCTAAGTATATTTTGTGTCCATGTATCAATAGTCAAATTACATATAACACACATGAACATAAGGGGAGTTAAAAAATGCATATAATAATTACTCAGTTAAATAAGGTTAAGTATGAAATAGTGTGAAAAAAGATAAAGAAAACCAAACCAAATAACCAAACAAAACAACAACAACAACAAAAAAACCCAAACTATCCAGGCATGGTGGCACACACCCTTAATCTTAGGACTCTGGAAGCAGAGGCAGGCGGGTCTCTTGACATTGGGATTTCTGGGCCAGACTGATCTATAAGCCGAGACTCTGAAAGAAGAAAGGGCTCAGAATAAGCAGATGAAACTTTTATCAGGCCCTTTTATAGAACTGAGATAACAGCAGAACGAAGAAGCCTTCCAGGCTGGCAGTCATGTAGAGTGAACAAAGCCTCAGAAAAAGAGAATTCTGTAAACTGGGAAGCGTGAAGAGACCTGCCCACTCCGACTGTTTAGCCTAAGAAGGAATTGTCATTCCTGTCACTCTACCCTCACCCTGTGTATTTCGGTCAACTAGGCATTTTTAGGAAAGAATTTCAGAGGTGCTTGTAATCATTTTGGAATAAAGTAACCTGAGTCTCTTAGTAAATAGGGCCCTGGGTTCAGTATCAGCATATCCTCCACCCCAGATCTGGGATTATAAGCAAAATGTGTGGTAAGATAAACTGTTCTGTTAACTTACTGATGACACTATTACTTCTTATGAAGAAACTGATAAGACTCGGGAAACTGTTGGTTTGTTTTAGCTTGTCACTTGGGAGATGCTGTGAGCCACCTACAAATCAAGAGAAAAGTAATGGGGAAAGTGGACAGTGAACCTGAGTCGGAAGTGTTGATAGGAGATCAGGGTTTAGAAAGAACCAGGAACTCTGCAGGAGGCATGGTATGCTTCAGAAATGGTAATGTGACCTCGAAAGGGTTACTTCCCAGGTAGCTGGACTACCCTGTAAGCTTTGCATTTCTCTTCCTATTGAAACAGTAAACATGAACCAGTATTAACTCACGTTTGAACAGGGAAAAGAATTTAGCTCAAGCGATGACAATGAAGAAAGGAATCTATGCAAAGGCTTGCTGCCTGTGTTCCCTGCTGGTTTCGACCCTCTCCAGTGTTCTGGGAACGAGTCTGGGAAACTGCAGGTGTTGGTAAAGCTCCTGGCAGCAATTCATGAACTTCGTCCCACCGAAAAGTAAGCCCTGTACCCAGTCACTCGCCTCCTTTCACCATACCCTGCCTCTACATCCCCTACTGCCAGTCGATTTGCTTTACTTTCTTCAAAGAATACATTTTTGCAAGTCCCCTAGTTACATGGAGGTGGGACCTGGGGTTCTGCACCGTTACTGTAAACTCCTTCCTTCTGAGGGGCCTTGGCGAGGGTTTAAGGTGTTTGGATTAGGGAGGTGGCTCAGTGGTTAAGAGTACATACTGCTCTTCCAGACAACCTGAGGTGGCCTACAGCTCGGTGGCCGACAACTGCTTGTCACTCTACCTGCCACTGCTGCTCCTTCTGTCTTATCAGTGTTACTATTTTCCTTTAACTAAAAAAACAAAAGGAAAGAACAAAATACTGTCTTAAAACGTTATGTAACAAAGTTTTGTTTTTGGTTGACAGAGTGGTTTTGGTCTCCAACTACAGACAAACCTTGAATATTTTAGAAGATGTGTGCAAGCGTCATGGATACGCTTGTGTAAGACTTGATGGCCAAACACCAGTCTCTCAAAGGCAGCAAATTGTGGACAATTTCAATAGCAAATACTCGACTGATTTTATTTTTTTATTAAGTTCAAAAGCTGGTGGTGTGGGACTTAATCTTATTGGAGGATCTCACCTAATTCTCTATGATATTGACTGGAACCCGGCTACTGACATCCAGGTAGGAATATTTATTCATGAAGTCCACATTATATATGCCTAGGAAATCAGATGTGATGACGTGTAATTAGTTGTTGGGTACTGGGCTCTTGTTTTGTATCAAGTACTCTGTTTGGTGCTCTCTGTTTACCATCTATTTAATCTTCACAACATCTCCACACGTGGATGTAAGTAGCCCATGTCCTCTATATGAAGAAATGGAAGCTTGTTCTTCCAACATGAGAAATGAAAACCAAGCTTCATGTCATACTGTACAGCTAGGCTTGAGGGAGTTCCTGACCACTGGGGATGACGTTAACCAAATGGATGCTGTGACTGATTTGTATAAGCTGCAGTGACTCCACAGCATTAACTCCTTCAGGAGACTGTGGAGAAGCCCCAGGTTTCTTCAGTATATACTCCACTTTCATGTATTTTGAGGGTTTTGACATAGAGATTTTTACCACGGTTGGTGTTTTTACTATGGGGTCCTAAGACAACGCTGAGGTTATGATTTACTCGGCTTCAGAGAACTGGGGAAAGCAGCCACACTCACAGTTATTATTTTACAAGGCTACTGAAGTCAGCAAATGCATACAGTAGAGTCCAGGAGGGACCAGGCACGAGCTCCATGTGTCCCTCCCCTCAGAGCTGTCTGGACATCACTGATGAGTGACGGCACATCCGGAGCATTCCCAGCAAGGTGTGCTCTTCAGGGTTTTGTAGGGAGTTGGTTCGGAGGCACCTCATGCCTCCATGACTGCTGATGGATTTATTCATGCTTCATTCCCTCCAGAGGTCAGTCAGCTTCACCCCATGTGAAGCCAAGTGTATTCAGTGTGAGGAAAGTTGAAGGATGGTTGTAGAAATAAAAACTGCACCGAGAACAGCTTAAGTCTCAGTAGGAGACAAAGGAGTTGAGGAAAGGGAATATCCCTGGTTTCAGGATCCAGGCTGCTTGTGGACAGACAGAAACAGACGTTTTCTTTAAGTGGCCTCTGGTTTATTGCTCATGGGAATGGTACTCTTTGAAATCTTTATCTCACAATTAGGGGATTTTCTTTTGCCAGCTTTAGGTCAGTAGGTAGTTTGTGTGGAAATTGATGGCTGGGCATGCTGGCATCGTCCTGTACCTGGTGGGTTTCCCCCTTTTGATAAGGTAAGGATAAGGGACAGCCACATGCAGACATTGTTAAAGAGAAACTCACTATCAGGTTTCATGGGTTAAGGGCATGAAAGCCTGGCATCTCTTGTCCCTGTGTGTGTTGCTATTACTCTTCAATTAGAGGCATTTTGGGCAGGAGTGTGCAAGGTTTAAACATCAGTGCTTTACTCCACAGTATCATTGTTAATGCTTAAACTAGAGGGAACCTAAAGTGGTTGCAGATGCCTTATGGAACTTTAAAGGGTGAATTCTTAGCTGCTTGGACCCTCCATGCCCAGGCTAACTTGGTTCTTTGCATCTTGGTTGTCATGTTTTATCAAGATACCCATGCCACTGTTGCATGGACTCCTGCAGCTCCCTCACATGCTGCTCAACCTCCCTCTGAACCCAGGGTACAGATGCCAAGAGGGCAGGTGTATGCCATGGAATGTGTGCGCACTGGAGGACAGCTTGCGGGCGCTGTTCCTCTTACAGCGTGCTGTGCTTCTAAACCTCAGACGGCAACTGTTAAGCCGGTGCTTCTACCCATGGAGCTCCTTGCTGGCACCCTACTGTGTTTCTTGAGCTATTAGTGAACTCCAGAATTCTCTAAAGTAAAATACACTCCTGCAAACTGCTTATGTGTAAGGGCCGTCAGTTTCTACTGTACTCAGAATTCTTATTTTGTCTAGGCTATGTCTAGAGTTTGGAGAGATGGTCAGAAACACCCTGTGCACATTTACAGACTCCTGACTACAGGTAAAAAAACCTTCATGTGACAAAAAGTGTACCTCCTTAAACATTTTCTTTCCTTTGTGCTTCAATGTCTGGAATATACTCTTTTATCAGATAATAAGTAACAAATGCGTTTTACCCAACACAAATAATAGACACAAGAAGGGAATCTAATGAGTGTTTCCCCTCCAGGTACAATAGAGGAAAAGATCTACCAAAGGCAGATCAGTAAGCAGGGCCTTTCCGGGGCAGTTGTAGACCTGACCAAGTCATCCGAACACATCCAGTTTTCAGTGGAAGAGCTTAAAGACTTGTTCACGTTGCACGAAAACTCCCAGTGTGTGACCCATGATCTGCTGGACTGTGAGTGCACAGGAGGGGAAGGCCGCACTGGTGAGCTGTCTGTTCATCCCTTTACCACAGAACAGTCAAGTGTGTCTTTGAAAACACTTACAAATAGCTGCCACTTGCATGTGTTAGTTTTTCGTCCCTCAGCTTGTGGGCAGTTACTAGGTATATTCTTGAGAAAATGTTCAATAGCACTTTACTCTCTGTTTAGTTTCTTATTTCTGAATCTGTTGTGAAAAAAATTAATGTATGTAGGCAAATCTCTCAGTGCCTGGTAGAGTGGTTTCAGAGTAAAAAAAAAAAATGTTTTAAATTTTATTGCAATTTCAAAATCTCATACTTAGTAGAATTACGTATTGTTTGTTTAAGCCATGTAAGCTTTGCTGGACTGTAGGAGGTTCTTAGAAGAAGCAGCCGTACTTCTCAGTACTGGAAGTGCGTGTGATGTTGAGTAAGCCCAAACACATGCATGTCCACACTCGGGCATCATGTAACAGACTGTCACGTGGCCTTTGAGCAAATGTACAAATGTACCCACTCATGGGCACATATACTCACCTCACACTCATGCACACATAAATAATGAAAACTCTTCAAAAGATAAAAACATAGTGTGATGCTTAAAAAGATATTCTTCCTTTGTTTTTAATTTTTATTTTGAGGGGCTTTTTTGAGACAGAGTTTCTCTGTGTAACCTTGGTTATCCTGGAACATGAACTGTAGACCAGGCTGGCCTCGAACTCACAGAAATCTGCCTGCCTCTGCCTTCTAAGTACTGGGATTAAAGGCGTGTGCCACCACTGTCCATCTCTTTTTAACCTCTTACAGGATGGAGTTGGAGTTGTGTATGATGTAAATACAGTACTTATATATGAAGTTCTCAGAAACAAATATATGTACATACATATCAAACTCAGAGATCCGCCTGCCTCTGCCTCCCAAGTGCTGGGATTAAAGGTGTGTAGCCACCATTGCCTAGCATGACTTATAATTTTCAAACTTATTTTCTAAAGTGGTTTTTAACCCTTTAAATTTCCTTCTCTATCAAGTTCCATACTTGATAGAGTATAATATGTAGTCTTTTCATTATTACATTTTAAATATTTCATATTTCCTATTGCTATTTCTTATTTACTCATGATTTATTTAAAAGTATTCTTTCAGTCCTAAATACATGTACACATGAACAGTACTAAATGGACTTAGCAGGTTGTGCATGTGTATGTGTCTCTGTGTATGTGTGTGTGTGTGTGCATTTGTATCTGTGTGTGTGCATGTGTGTATGTGTCTCTGTGTGTCTATATGTGCATGTGTGTCTGTGTGTGCCTGTGTCTATAAGTGCATGTGTGTCTGTGTGTGCCTGTGTGTCTGTATGTGCATGTGTGTCTCTGTGCATGTGTGTGTGTGTGTGCATGTATGCATGTGTGTCTCTGTGTGTGACAGTAATTACAGAAGAGCTGGTTGTGATGGTACACACTGGTAGGATTTGCTGAAGGAGGCAGAGGCAGGAAGATCATGAGTTTGAGGCCAGCCTGGGCTATACATTTTTAGTCGGGTGTTGGTGGCACACACCTTTAGTTCTAGCACTCAGGAGGCAAAGGCAGGCAGATCTCTGTGAGTTCTGGTCTACAGAGCAAGTTCCAGGACAGGCTCCAAAGCTACACAGAGAAACCCTGTCTTGAAAAACCAAAAAAAAAAAAAAAAACCAAACAAACAAAAAAATTCACAGAAGAAGTCATTCCCATTCAAAGGGAATGAGTGGATGTGAGAGTGTTGGAAATGTATTAATGATGTAAACACAATAAATTCATTGTACGTTTTTAGAAATAGCAATATGCTGGGCGAGGATGGGTCCCTTTGCCCTTCAGCTGAGTTATCTTCCATTGTATGGATATATCATAGTTTGTTTACCTGCCACACTACAGATGCGTAGTTAGTTACATACTTTTACTTACACACCATTTTCATACAGTCAAGTATATATTTGTCATATCTTATTAGTGTTACTACATGGTTCACAACTGTCTGTAACTCCAGCTGCAGGGGCTGTGGTGCCTCTGGCCTCCCTGGGGACCTGCACTTATGCACATGCCCACATGCAGATACAAAACACATAATTAAAAAGAATAACAAATCTGTAAAGAGGTCTTACTTGATGAGCTCGTCAGTTGTCTCTATGGCCCATTCATAGGAAGCCATTTTTCAGTCTGTCAGCATGCTTAATGAATTTGAGTTCCGACCCCCATGTTTGCGTTTGCAAACCTATCAGGCCTCACAGCGTTGGGTTATTTATTGATGCTGAAGATAGAACCAAAGACCTTATGAACACGAGACCAGGGCTCACACATGACTCCATCTTTGACTCCATCCCAGAGGGCTTAGATAACAGATTGTGGACTGGTAAACCCTTTTTTTGTGAAATGGCTTGTTTGGTGGTGTGTGTCATGGGCTGGGTTCTTATTGAGTGCTCAGTAATTGCCTATCAATATTGGTAGAAAGGACGAATGATCAGAAATGACATGTCACGTGACTCACTGAACAGCTGTCTGAAGCCGCCTCATGTTTTACTCATTTCAGATGATGTGTTGGACGCCTGTGTCACCTCTAGACAGTGTCAGCTCAGCCCTCAGCACCAGAAGCCCAGCCCCCTGAAACCTCTGTCCATGTCACAGCTGAGGCAGTGGAAACATTTTTCTGGAGACTGTTTAAATCTCGCAGACCCGTTTCTGGAGAGAATAAAGGAAAACGTGTCATTCTTTTTCCAGAATATAACCAACCAAGCTCCCGCCATCTAATGACGGACTACTTCCTAACATCCCTCTGCTCCCCCTAAAAATTAATAAAGGAATTAAATGTAATTTTGAAAGCTAGCCAAATTATTTGAACTATATTAGTGAACTTTGTTCCACAATATGCCAGTCGAAGCACAATGAAACTGAGTTGTTGGCTCCCTTGTGTGTACCCGGCAGTGTTGAAGGTGCAGCGTTGATGCGTGAGTCTGTGACTGGTATTCTTCACTCCATGCTAGCCGTTCTGCCCACACTCCCTGGTGGTTAGGGCTGTTGCACACTGTCCACCGTGTTCACTGGCTGTTCCTTTGGAGAACCCTGTAGCTCAGTTAGTCCCGCTGTTTACTTTCTGTGGTTCTTTATGTATCCTGGATCGGAATCTCCTGATGAGAAGCTGTCTCTTCACCCTGGCATGGCTTGCTTTGCTGGGCACAAGGGCATAGCCAGAAGTGGAGACCACAGCAGGGAAAGCATGCCAGGAATGGGAGTGGGCAGTAGAGCCGGGACAGTTTCCTGTGGAGAAAAGCCCGGCCTATGCCCATGTCTTGAAGGGTCTGTGCTTTCCTTCCTCTAGCCGTTTACCACATTTCAGATCTTGATTTTGAATAGGTTTTTGTGCAGAGAGAGATGGATCCAGTGCCGTTCTACAAATGGAAACCCAGTTTCTCCAACACCATTGTGTAACGTGAATAATAAAAACCTAGAAACAGATATTGTTTGAAGATCGGACAAGCAAAGCAGCCAGCCACTAGAGAGTGTTCACCTATATCAATGCGCAGACCAAAGGGATGATCCACGTAACCTCAGATTGCATCTCCAGATGGTACTGGTCTCCACCAGGCCTCAGAATCCTAGACTGCTATGCTCTCCTCAACGTGGCTGGGGACTAATTGCGTAAGACTGCCTTTGTGTCTTCCTTATATCCTCTCGGCTTCTGGGATTAAAGGTGTGAGCTCTGTTTCTCTTGTAGACTGATTCACTCCTGTGTAGCCCTGGGTGGCCTTCAACTCAGAGACATCCGTCTGCCTCTGTCTCTTGAGTCCTGGGTGTAAAGGTGTGTGCCACCACCGCCCAGCTCCTATAGCCAATTAGTGTGGCTGGCATTGCATTCTGATCCTCCAGGCAAGCTTTATTAAATCATAAATAATAAAAATAACCACACCATTGTTAAAAAAATATCTGTCTTTTCTCTGCAGTGTGTTTTTGATAGCTTTACCAAAAATTGGATAGCTGTAGCTGCAGGTTAGCTTCTGGGTCTGACCTTCCGTCTGGCCTATGCCATGGTTTTGTTGTTTCTACTGTAGTTGTATAATATGCTTTGAGATTATCTATTGTGGTAAGGATCACACCAGCTATTGGGCCCTTTGTGCTTCTAGGTTTACTTAGGATTCTTTCTCCTAGTTCTGTGAAGCATGTCATTGGACTTCAATGAGATTTCATTTAATCTGCAGATTGTTTTGGTAATATAAACATTTTTTTTAATTTTATTATTTTACATGTTGATCCCAGTTCCCTCTCCCTTTCTCCCTCTCTCCGTAATAGAAACATTTTTACAATGTTAATTCTACCAAAACATGGTGCTATAGTTACATATTTCTATATTTCTAGTATGTTCTTCAATTATTTTTTTCAGTGCCTTAAAGTTTTCATCTAGAAATTAATCCTGGGATTTTTTTTTTTTTTTTTAAAATAGCTCTTTTCTTCCCCTTTGACTTCTTGCTTGGTGAGTTCATTATTGTTCTAAAAAATGCTACTGGTTGTTCTGTGGTTTTTCTTTTTCTTTTCTTTTTGGTAGTGTTTCAGGTCCATGCTGGTCTTACTCTTGCTATGTAGCTGAGGACGACTTTGAACATCTGATCCTCCGTTCTCTCTCTCCCAAGTATTGGGATTACAGGAGTGAGCTTCCAAACCCAGGTTATATTGTGCTAGGGATTGTACTCAGGGTGTGGCACATTCTAGGGAAGCAGGCTACCTGCCGAATTACAGTCCCCTGCCTCTGCAAGCTGATTCTGTGTCTTGTTACTGTGTTAAAAGTGAAAAGTGTTTACCTGATGCCAGAGTTTTCAGAATAACTTGGTAGGAGCTAAGAATGACTATGAGGTGTGGCCTTATTGGAGTAGGTGTGGCCATGTTGGAGGAAGTGTGTCATTGTGGGGGTGGGCTTCGAGGTGTCCTTTATTCAGGCTACTCCCAGTGAGACAGAAAACTTTCTGTTGCCTGCTACTTTTCCAGCACCGTGTCTACCTGCATGCCACCATGTCCCACTGTGACGACAACGGACTGAACCTGTGAAACTGTAAACCACCACGCCAGTTAAATGTTTTCCTTTGTAAGAGTTGCCGTGGTCATGGTGTCTCTGCACAGCAACAGAACCCTAAGACAGTAGATAATGTTTACTAGTATTTTTTAATTGCTTACATTACAAATGTTAAATGCTTTGCCTTCATTAGCAACCATGTGAGATAGGCCAAGTGTTAGAGGAACTGAGTTACTCTTTGTGCAAAGAGAGTTGCAAGGCCATTTGTAAGACTTAAATGTGTAGGGAGGTTGAGTACCAAGGTATGGGTAATGCCGTAGTGGAAAAACCGATTGCATCAGAGTCATCTTAATCTTTATTTGGAAAAACACTCTATTAAAAGTTGGGTGATGGGGCTGGAGAGATGGCTCAGTGGTAAAGAACACCAGCTGGTCTTCCATGGGTCCTGAGTTCAATTCCCAGCAATCACATGATGGCTCACAACCATCTGTAATGAGATCTGGTCCCTTTTTCTGGCCTGCAGGAATACAAGCAGACGGAACACTGTATACATAATTAATAAATCTTAAAGAAAAGCAAACCTAGGGGGTGGGAAGTTGAGCGGCCTTTAATACTTTGGGCATTGCTGTGAAATACGACAGAGGAAGACAAGATTGGAACTCTGAAGATAAGAGAGGTAAGGGCAAGAAGACAAAATGAGATTGTAGAAGGAGCTGATGGTGAGAGGAAACAGGAAAGTTGAGGATGGAGAGTGGTCAATGAGCAGAAATAGACATCTCCTGTTCCCTAGAAATGTGCATGCTAAGAGGTACCCCCCATCTCTGTCCCGGCCTGAACCCTAAGGATATAGTCTCATATGTAAGGGGAGGCCGGGTTTCATGGGAAAACCCATGTTACGCGGGACAGAGCCTGTGCGATGTAGGAGTCTGGAGAGTGGAGCAGCAAGATGCTAAGCTCTGAGAATCAGGGAAGATTGGTGGTTTGCATAGGATTCGTCTCCAGAGACTCATGTGCTTGAATGCTTGGCTCATAGGGTGTGGCACTATTAGGAGGTGCGGCCTTCTTAGGGGAAGTCTGTCAGTGTGGAGATGGGCTTTGAGGTCTCATACGTTCAAGCTTTGCCCAGTGTGGGATGCAGTTCTGCCGCCTGCAGACCCTGATGTACAGTTCTCAGCTCTTGTTCCAGCACCGGGTCTGCCTGCCTGTATCCCACCATGCTTCTAGCTGCCACAGTAATGAACTAACCTCTGAACAGTAGGCCAGCCCCAATGGAATGCTTTCCTTTATAAGAGTTACCGTGGTCTGCCCCAAATGATGCGACAGACTTTGATAATCCCCCGTGGGAGGTCTCACTTTCCCTGGGGAGTGGGTGGGGCATAGAATGGGGGAGGATGGGGGGAATGGGAGGGAGTGGGAACTGGGATTGCTTTGTAAAATAAGTTTGTTTCTAATTCAAATAATAATAATAATAATAATAATAATAATAATAATAATAATAATAATAAAAAAGAGTTGCCATGGTCATGGTGTCTCTTCACAGCAATAGAGACCCTAACTAAGACAAGGCTTTGGACCTTGCTAGGCCAGGGATCTGTGGGGTTCAGACTGACTTCTCCCAGATGTTGAGGGCCCTGTTAATATCTGGTTTGCATATATAGAAGTTCTCAATCTCCTTTCCCAGACTCTGCTTCATTGCACTTCACGTTCTCTCTTAACTGCTGCCTTGCTTTGAGCTACTCCCACTGAGCTGAGTCCCTTGAAGACAGGTTTTCATTTTGTCATGCCCATTCACTCTCTGGGCCGTCTGTGCTGCAAGGCACACACCGGCTGCTTAGAACTCAAATGACTGATGCCTTTCACGTCCTTCTCGTCTTTAATGGTCTGCCGGCTCCTTTGCTCACAGACCTGTGTCCCACACTGGTAAAAAAAGACGGAAAGTGGAACTGTGAGGTGTTTCACGGGTCTGGGCATTGCTGCACAGATCTGGAACCCACATGTCGGTGGAAGGAAAGCCTGACTCCCCGTGTATGCCCACACATCTTACACGGTTAAGGGATAGCCTCGAGTCTCAGGGACTGGACTTTTGACGTGTCCTATGGGGACTTTTTGAAGTTGGGCATTATGATGTGGCCATGACCCGTAAGGATGCCTGGGGGGGTGGATTGTAGTGGTTTTAATGAGATATGTCCCCCAGAGGTTCAGGTCCTTGAACATGTGGTCCCCAGTTGGTGGCACTGTTGGGGAGTACAGGGAGCCAGACCAACCCAAGACTTCCTCAGAGGGCCCCGATGAAAGCACAAAGGGAACTTTAGTTTTGAGTCTTTGTCCGGGAGTGGACTTGGCCAGGCCGTCTAGGGCTGGAGCCAGTGCCTTGAGGGAGCCAAGTTTGCAGTTTCTGGGGACCCGACTCTTCTCCCTGGGCTGTGGTTATCAGTTAAGCAGCTGTGTCTGAGGGCCTTGTGTTCTCTTTGGCAATATTGTCTGATTTAGCTCTCTGCTGACCTTGGCCATTGTGGTGCTGTACTTCCTAGCAAGCGTACCTGGCATGAGCCTTTGGCGTATGCAAGGCCTTCTGGTCCCAGCCATTGCTTTCATTTTATTCCCATTCCTGCTCCTCCCACTTGAAATCTAGCCTTACCCCTTCGGGTTTGGGTTGGGGGGATTATGGAACTTTGGAGTTAGAACCTTGCTGGAGGAGGTGTATTGCTGGGGCTCTGAGAGTTCCTAGTCCTGCTCTGTCTGTGGTTGAAGAGGTGATCTCAGCTTCCTCCCATCATGCTAGCCAGCTGCCATGCCTCCCTGCCATTATG